GGCAGGAAAGCTGTGCCAACATTTGGACCCTGACTCCCCTCTCCGGTTTCCATTTCGACTCCCCAACTCGACTCTGACCCCTCCCCTATCTCCAGTCTGGACCCCAAACTGACCTCAGTCCATCTGACTCCAGCTCTGCACCAAAAACAGACTGCGGCCTCAATCCTGAATCCCAGCTTAGAGCTCCTAACCTTCCTCCCTAAGCCAGGACCCAAATCCGTCCCAAATCTGGGCGTTCAGGTCTCCAGCCGGGCAGGTGCTGGGGGAAGAGACTGAGGCAGAAAGGCCCATCCCTGCGCAGAAGTCCCTGAGCCTCCCCGCCCCCCACCCCCTGGTTTCCCACTCACTGATTTCGGGGCGGCTCTGAGGCTGGCGGCTTCTGCCCACGGGGCCAGTGGCACAGGCGAACCGTGGGTTCCCTTGCTCCATGTCCTGCCTCCAGGACTTCCTGAGAAGGCGGGGAGAATACACTCATCCCTTGAAACAGACCAAAGTGGGAAGAGGAGGAGGAAGAGGGGAGGTGAACCCAGGACGGCTTGCTGTGACCCCTCCCCAGGAGGGACGCTGTTGGAGGGAGGAGCCCCTGGAGAGAGGAAGAACCCCGCATGATGGGGAAGAAGGTCCTGGCGGGCCAGCCTCACTGCCATCCGGGACCGGCACTCACGGGATGGGGGTGGGCAGGAGGCGGCAGGTCCGGGACTCTGGATCCCAGGCACAGTGGGGGTCCCGGGCAAGGACACAGTCCACACAGCTCTCATAGACGCTACAGTTGGCTCGTGGGACCCGCCAGATGCCCCTTGAGGAGCCCGCAAACACTGCACCCTGCAAAAGAGAGGGAGAGTGACGGGGTCACCCTGCCCAGTGAGGACCCGGCACCCAAGCCCCCCACCTCATCGGAGGGCCCCTTGCCACCTGTGCGGGGACCAGCAGCAGGTTGCGGACAGGTTCAGGTTCAGGGAACAGCTGGATCTCCTCCACCAGATGGACGCTGTTGTTCCCACTCCCCACAGCCTTGTGGAGGGACCCCGTGGCTGTGGGGAGAGAGCAGAGACTGTCACGGGTCCACGGACCCTTCTAACTCCAGATGGCCTCCCAGCTGTCAGAACGTTCCTGCTGAGTGCAAAGTGCGCAGACACGGATCTGTCAGGCTGTTGCCTTCGATGCCGCGGAGATCACGTAAGTCCCGTCGTAAGTGGCTCACACCCCTGCCCCTCTGCCCCTCCTGTGCCGGAACCCAGCCCACCTTCCCCACGGACTTGGGGCCGAGGACAGCTGAGTGCTTTCCGGAGAAAACCATGTCACCAGCCACCCTCAGCTCCACCGAGTGTCCCTGCTCCGAG